CGTCTTCTCAGATCCCTTTGGCAAAATAGGTCCCACCCCTATTTCCTGGTAAAACTGTGCCTTTCTTCTTGTATTTGCTCACACATGTTGTATCCAGACTGCAGAGGAACACTACCCACCTCCACCCATTCTCCTCTTTCTCCACTCCTCAGCACAAACTTTATAGTATTCAAATTTGTTCTGATAGGTGCAATTTTTTGCGGACCTTGTGTAGGCTTTGGTTTCAGTGTTGTGTCAGCAGCTTTAAAAAACCTGTCAAATAGCCTTTATTTATTTATTTTTAGTTTTACGAACACAATTCAAATTTATTTGAACAGTGGCCAGCCTAAGCTTTTAATCATTCGACAAGGAAAGTGTCAGCTTTGCTCACATTAATTTTAAAAAAAATTTTAGATTTTTTTTTTTCATGTGTTTAAAGATGAAGCTATTCATGCTGATATCAGCAGTGGCAGCAAATAAATGGGACAGATCCTTGCCCTTGCCCTTTTTTAAAATAATTTTTAATGCATTTTATTTTTATTTATTTTTTTAAATCAATTAGTTTTGAATAGGTATAATGTACAGCATTATACGTCCTAATGTATTTTTTTAATTTTGTTTATTATGCATTATTATCATTATTGTTATAACGGAAAGTGGCATTTTTAAACAGCTGTTGTAGATGTATACATTATCATTGTCTGAGTTTACATATCATGTTGAATACAGGACAGTGACATGACCCATCCACGGCTAGGACGTTTGTTGTGAGCACTGATGTACTTAGGTTGGTGTGTTTTAAGTATTTTAAAGGTCAAAGGAGCATCTCTCTGTTGCTTTTTACCTCGACCAGATTTAGTGCTACTTAAAGACTTCTAATGGATATTTAAAAAGACCTCAGCCATAGCTGTCCTGGTGGGTTCARTGTTTATAAATTGCCAGAGAGAAAAATAAAAATTTGAAACAGCATTGATGGTAGGTTTTTGACACAGCAAGAGCACTCTTTATTACACATGATAGTATTTTTATGGCATCAATTTTTTTCTCAGGTGAGGGTGATGGATTTGCCAAAAAATAATAAGATGTCTTCTTAGACAATAATGATTTCTTACATTAAAAATATTTAATGTATTTTTAGTCAGGTTAAAATAGAAATTACAGCTATTTTTTAAATCTGGTGTGGTGAGTAGGGAGCACTTCATTTGTGTTTAGATTTTATTTTATTGAGTTATTTATTTAATTTGCTGTGCCTTGTTTAGTTAACTTTCAAAGTTGGATTTTTCTGTTCTCAGCAGTGAAATCAGCATGTGGTTGTTTGGAATAATTGTATTTATTACTAAAGTGCTGATCTGTGTTTGTCACTTCAAAGCTTTTCAGCTGTCAGTGAGTCAAAYATAGAAAAAATACAGCAGTCCAGTAAAGACTTGTATTAATTTAGATAAACACACTTCAGTCATAACCCATTTTTACTTATATTCATATATATTGTTTTTTAAATATTCTGAATCATAGTGATGCTAAATTTTGGAATCAAACTACATATTTGTATGTATTCGTGTGTTTGTGTACAACTATTGCACAAGTGAATGGCTTTGTGATTCAGCTCACACTTTTGCATATAAGTGTGYACATACAACACACTCGCTTATATCCATGTTTCAAATTTGCTAATATTTTTGAATGTAGTGAAAAAAAGTGATTGCAGTCATTGTAAGAATTTTACTCAATTTTAAAGTTAATTTTTTTTGTGTAGGTGAGTGGAGATTGGTGAAGTGTAAATCCAGTTTCCTGGTCATTAGTTTGAAATTTCATCATTGTGTGTGTTGTCAGTATCCTCTTATGTAGAGTAAAAAATATTTTAAAAAAATTCTATTGAAAGGAAAGGTAGCAGTGAGTGTTTTTGCATCATGACCCATTCAGCTTTTTATTGTTTGAATGATAATTTAATTTTTTTTTTTGAACTGTGGAAACGACTGATGTGTTTAGATGATACACACTGCTGTGTGTCCTGACACTGGGGTACACACTTGCATTTTGAGTCACATCTGATTGGTGTTAGACAAAAATTATCACACTTTTAATTTATTATTTCTTGAAATTTATTTATCTGGCATTCACCAAAAAATGTTTGTATGAAAAAAAAGTATATATATATATAAAAATGTAAACCAGGAGTGTTAGTACATCTTACAGTAAATAAACACACACACAACTCTTAAAGATCACACACAGATTGTCCTGTGAAACAAATTTATTGTGATATGCTTGTAGTATAATATGACTGAAGCTTCCAGGGAATTCCCGTCACCTCATGTTTTATTTTTTTTATTTTGATATTTTTTTATGTGCAAATATAACAGGATTTTCCTGGATTAGCACATACCGTTACCAGTATTTTGATCAGAACAAAGCTGTTTCTCATTGGTTTCATCACTTTCTACCTAAAGTCAAACTCCTCATCACCAGTATTGTTTTACACTCCTTACTGCTTCCCTTGTGTAATTAATATTATGACACCTTTGTCGTTTTTGGTACGAGTGATTACGTAGTGTAAAGGAATAGATGCTAGACAGAGATGTAAGGACTTCACACAGTATCAATAGTTTTTGTGTTGTGAAATAACTTGTTTGTTTTTTTGGTAATAATCAAAAGTTACAGAGTAATTAATATAGTATGTGTACTTTTGTTTAAACCAGTACAAGATTTTAGTTTTCTTCACAGCTGGTGTTAATCTGGCTTACTTTCAAACAGTGATGGAGATGTAATTATAAAATAATGTATTGTAATTTTATACTAAAACGAAGAATAAGAAATCATGTTCCTTCATTGCATTATTTTATGTTTTGAAATGTGCGTGCCAGTAATGTTTTTAACATGAATATTTTAATGACAACACTTGTGATGATGTGTTTTATTGTCTCCACGGTTTAGGCAGTAAGTTAAAATCTCTGTAAATTGTGCTTGTACAAACAGAAGACCGTAAGAATGGCCAGAAAAGACCAACCCAGACCACTTGATCCAGGGTGGTGATAGGCTGTCATGTCCATGTCTCTGAACCCAGCAGGGTGCAAGAGGTTACTTGACCTTTCGACCTCAGGGTCATGTGACTGTTTGAGGTCATTGTATGGGGAGTAAGTGTCAGGAACGGTTAAAAAGGCTGAGCAGCGAAGGTGACATGTCCAGGCATGCTTCCTTTAAAGACACAGAAAATGGGGAGAGGTTAGAGCCATTAATAAAAACAATTTGCAACTAGACTTATAAAAGGAATTATTAGTTTAAAAGAAAATGATGCAACTTACCTGATTTGATAATTATTTTTAAGAATAAACAAGGTACGATACTTAAGTTTTAATAAATTAAAAAATATATTTACATACATGTATATATAGTATATGTATACCCATCCCCTACTGCTTTTATAAAGCCCATTTAATGACTTGTTTTTCAATATATAAAAGACATTCACATGGGATTTTACATTTTGTAGAATTTACATATAAAACATTTAAAGCTGTATGACAAGGACAGACATTAAGTGGAATCTTTAGTAACGACACAAGTACATCAGAAGATAATGCAAAATCTGTGTGTGATGTTCTAGAAACGTAATTGTTAGATCTGAAGCTAATATAAGGGATTTTTTGGGGAAATGAGATTGCATGGTTTGCTGTAGAATATTTGTTGACAGGACAACAATTTGACAGACACTAACAGCTCCTGCCTGCCCACCCTCCTGCTAGTGTCTGGATTTTCAAACTGAAACATTAGACCAATGTTTTCATCTCACAATTTTCAGATGAAGGCACTATTATTTTATATCAGATAAAGCTGTGTTGCTCCTATTACTAACATATTGAACTGAATTTCAAAAGACATAACTTTTAATAACACATTCTTTGTGTCTCTTTAAACTGTTTTTGACTACAGTAAAGCCTTTACAAGTGGATATGTTTATGTGGTTAAAATGGACATGCATTTCACTGTTGCATGATATAAATTAAAGGTTTCATTATAAGTGTAACTGCTCACGAATTTTGTCAGCCGTAACACAGATTTAGATCCACATCCGACCTTTACAAAAGCTGGTGATTCAGATGTCCAGCTGCTTTTACATTTACTCATTTAATTACAGGCATGACTTTTTATGTTTTAATATTTGAGGTGGTAAGGTGTAAAATAAAAGTTAGATAATATTTTTATTTCTGAATTGAATTTTAGTCATGCTTATTTGTATGATTGTCAAGCAGTGGTTGATTCTGATAAAAGCAGTGACTGTGGCTTAACTTCTTTTTTTTTTTTTTTTTTTGCTGCTCGTTTTGTCTTATTGCATTCATGGTACTTGTGTCTTCATGATAAAAATAAATATTAGTAAATTAGACTAATGAAAGTATTTTTTTTTCAGTGAGAGAACTGATATGTTTGTCCATCCATAATCTAAACTAAGTTTTCCAGAGCTTTTGTGAAAAGAGGAAATAAAGAATTGTGTGAGTTGTCTGCGTTTTTGTATGTAAGTTCTTTGAGACTCTTGTCTGTCAGGTCCATTTCAGTTAGGCCATAATCACAGGTCCATTGAGACCTCTAGTGGCAACACAATCATCACTTCCCATCTCCACTGGGATTATTACAGGAAAAGGTTGATCAGCATTGTTAACAAGCTAAGTTACATTAAGGAGAATAATGTTTAAACTTTTATGTATTTTGTGAATAATTTTTCCATAAACCTTCTTTACCCTTATTTTTCCAGTAGTCACTGCAAAAGGCAGGGTGATGGACAGGTCTCAAGTCCATCACAGGGACAAATGAGACAAACAACCACTTGAACTCTCAAAAAAATACAGTTGTCAATTAATCATGCATGTTTTTGGTCTGTGGGGGAAAACTAGAGTACTCTGAGAAAACAACATGGGGAGAACATATAAACTCCACCCAGAAAGGCCTCAGATGATCTTGTGACCTTCTCGCTATGAGGCAACAGCTCTTAACACTGCACCATCATGCCTCTCTTAATATTTATTTAAAAATTTTGATACATTTTGCAGCTGAAACCTTACAACAGGAAAAGTCTGGTTATGACATGTGAGACATTTTTAACATGTATGTACTTTCTTCCACATTTTGGGTCAGTTATTGGACAGTGTTTGATGTTTAGGATTAGGACACATTTTTATTGTACTTATTCAAACTGGAAATAACCACATTTCAAAGTTGTGCTTCTTTTTTTTCTCCTGTTTAACTACAATAAGTTTTGTCAGGTTATCATTACTTTAGTAAGCCTTGCAGTGGTGTAGTTATCTAACATCACTGAGATATTGCATTTGTCATGTATCAACTATCATTACATCTGACAGAAGTGCTTACTTCATAAAGAATTTAAGATCTTATGCGAGTGACTGATCTTAAAAATAATCCTGTACTTGGGGAGTTCTTGTCCTTGAAAAAATGTAGGCAAAAAAAGTATGTATTGTTTATTTTAGGCAAGCCGGTTTTTGCTAGTTTTGTAACATTAAGACCTTGTTTAGTCACTAGTTTTATTTGAAGTGCTTTAAAAGTTGCATGTTTTGCAAAACTTTAGTAGTCCCACAGTTTTTTCTACATTTAATAACAATCTTCATTTTACTTTTTGGATAAATAAAACAAAGAACATTTGACCTCGTAGAACCAGTGTACAATCACGCCTGAGAACTGCTGGTGTAAAAAAACAAACAAATGTTCCACCATATGACAGTCCTTTTCAACACTTCTTCTAATGTGGTATCAGTTAAAAAAAAAACCTCATGTTTCACCATGACAGTGCCTTTCTGCATTAAGTGATTATTCTTGTGGGAAACCCTGACCTCATCCTCCTCCAGCAGCTTTCAGACATTGAGCTGAGCCTCAACATCAAAGCCTGCTTTGGTTGTAACCAAACTCTAAAATTTTGTGAGAGTATTTTTGATGTTTACCATACAGGCTTGTATTAATCCATATTTCCCCTTCTGTTTTTGTGTTTCAGATGGTGACCATCCCTGCCTATTTCAGAAGCGGGTAGAAGAACAAAATTAGATTCTGCAGTTCATCATTAGGTAGCTGAATAGTCTGTCTATCTGTAAACACGCAATGCAGATTAGCTGGGATGATGAGCCAGAAGCAATGGGACCGTGCTTCCAGTTCAGGTGGTGCTGTAGCAGCACGGAATGGTTTGTGGGTTACTCTGAGATGCAGGCCATACTGTGCTGCCGCAATAACGCCTGAACCTACACCACATCTGTCACTTCCTCCACCTGTTCGACCTGACAGTGGAAGCAGCCTCAGTTAATAATGTTTGGATTAGTGTTTCTGATGATAAATGTAAAGTTGGTGGATGCGTCTCACTCTGATTTGCTGGTAGCCTTACTGTAGCAGCACGTAAATATTGGAGTTAAGACTAGCTGAAATCTCCAGTATTGATCGTGCTGCTGAAGCAAAGCTGACCGCTCACACAGTTTTCAACAAATAACACCATCCTGCTGCCATCAAAAACTGCATGAAAATTACACGTTCACTATTTTTTTAACCACTTGAAGAAATAAATGCTGGACACAGTTGTAGATGATTTTTTTTTTATGTTAGGGCGTTTGAAATAAACATTTGAATTGATTTCGTCTCAAGTGTTTTTTGTTTTGTTTTACCATCACTAGTAGAACTTTAACAGTATTCTAAGTATTTAATCTGCTGTTTGGTTCCGTGTTGAATATTTTCCACATTGCTGCAGAAGTCCAGCCGGCAGAGGAGAGCAGCTCAGCGGGCCTGCGGCCTCTGCAGCGCTGCTGGGAGGAGGAGGAAGAGGCCTGATCAGACAGATTATCTGCCGATTCTCCATCTTTACTAACAGCATCCATCCACACTCTGTCCGGATTTTATCTCTCTAAAAATATATATTTTACAATATGTGTTTTCTGTAGGTTTTATTTCGACAATCTTTATGGTTTATTTGTTGGTTTGATGTGATGAAAAGTATCAGAACATATAAATATAAATGTTAGACTCAATTTGAATAAAAACACTGCGGTGTGCCGTCGCCTCCATTTTAACTGGAGCGATTTATCTGTCCCGGACGCACAACAATAATCTCAGATTTTTGTGTTTTTTTTTTTTTTTAAACCGGCCTTGGAGACATTGTAATTTTTTTTTTTTTCCATTTTCTTTTTTAAATTGAGGATTGTAAACTCCGCGAAACAATCCAATCAACCGCCTGGTTTTACTTGTTTTATTTAATGCGTCAGAACCTGCCCTTTGCTATTTTTTCTTTGTATTTTATTAAATCTCAACTTTTTTACATTAATTGTAAAAATTACAGGCCTGTTTTTTTATTTTATTTATTTATTGTAATCTCCAACTCGCTCGGGCCCTGTCTCATTTTACGCACAATGACAAAAACTCTCTGTGGATTCTCGACGAATTCTTTTTTTCCCTCTCAATTTATAAAACAAACCAGGATTCATTTTTATGCTTTTACGCAAATTCAGAATTTCAGGACGTGCTTTTCATATTTTATTTTGGAGGAAAACCCCATTTTTACACCATTTAAAGATTTTTTTCCCTTTTATATTTGCGATTTTGAAATGATAATAGTTACCAGGTCAATACTTCTGAACAGATCGCGACTGTATAGTGGAATTAAAGATTTATTGTCTTTCTAAAATTTCTATTGGAGACAGTAATTTTAATTGTGCAGGATCTAATTAGGAAATAAAATGTGACGCCTGCAAAAATAATAATAAACATAAAATTAAGACGTGATTTATGAGCTGAAATTCAGCATTTTTTTCGTAAGTCGTTATAGGCCTACCTATATTCTGAATTTATGTATAAAATGTATTTTCACCTTTATGAATACATAAAGGAGTTATGCAGCAAAGATCCGTGCGTATTGCGCATCAGCCTCCTTCGGACTTCGTTTCACCTGTGAGCTCTGTCACAGTAATTAAAAACAAAAGAACATACTTACTAAAAAGGTGATAAAACATGTAATTCACTAAATTATATTCACGCGTTTGGTGCCAAATTTAAACCAGTTTAGGTGTTTTTTTATTCTCTCAACAAGCGCACTTTGGATAAAACGTAAATTGATCGTGCGCTCTAAATGTTTTTATCAGTCAATAAAAGTTGTAGCTACCTTTTTTATAGAAATTACTTAAGTATCCATTTAAATTTTGCGTGACAATGCAGTTGAAACATTAATGCGGACTCGTGTGTTTTCATCCTATATTCGCCCAGCAACAGAAAGCTATATATATGTACAGGCGTGCCATGACGCACAGCCTGAAATCTGGGCTGTGCTGACATCACGGATTCCCTTTGTGGTCCGATTTTACATCTTTTTTTCTTCTTCTTTTTCCCGCCTCTCTTCTCCCACATAAGGTATTCCTGCAGAATAGAATAAAGAGAAAAATAAAGGAAAATATGCAAATCATTGATCACCTCTGATTGGATCCATTTTGATGCAAAAACAGCTAATAGCTTCAGCTGTTTGGGTTTAAATCTGATCTGCATTATTTCTTGAACAAATTGCACTATTTTAACAATAGCATTAAATAAAAAGCTTAACACTGGCTGGGATTTTTAGGCTTGGTTTTAAAATATCCATGGCAGAGATATGTTTCTGTTCACGTGTCTGCAGCCTGCTGAACATCTCCTGTTACATAATGTTTGTAACCTTGAAGAGGCTGCAGGATCACTGTGACGCAGGAAGGGCCACGAGATGTTTCATTCTACTGCCTGATTTGAGTAAAAACAATCATAGAAGTGACTCAAATTTCTCAGGTTTATTAAAAAAAAATAAAATAAAATCATGCAAAAAGACTCCTGGAGAGGTGTGATTTAAGTTAGTGTAAATCTGAACTGCTGTGTTCATTGGGTTTGATTCACTGAGGTTACAGCATTTTCAAAAAAAAAGAGGTGCAAAATACAAGACGGCACAATTTGATGTCTTCATACATCTCTTTAGTGTCTTTTGATCATAAACTTGTAGTGGTAAAAAGCCAAAAATGCTGATTAGGAGGACATAAAAGTGCTCATAAAGTGAACAGTGGAGTCAATGAAATTGGTAATATATTCCTGACCTGCAGCCATCAACATGTCAGTCATTTCTTTAGTGTGGGAGGAAAGTTTGGTGACAAACGGGGCTCTCATCCAACTACCATCATCACATCCTGCGCTGTGCAGGAGGAGGAGGGGGAGTGCCACGAACAGAATCAGGACCAGAACGACCCATCTGCACCCCGCCTTCCGTGAGCCACTGGTTCTGTACGCTCCACTTTCGTGCGGGACTGAGATCTGGTCGATCTCTCCGAGTTGGAGGGAATCCCACTTCTTTACGTCGAAGTTGCGCACGAGCGGTCCGACGAGCGCGTCTTTGCGCGACCGGAGAGGAGTCTCCTCCAGGACCTTCATCTTCTCTCGAAACTCCTGCATCTGCTGCAGGAAGACCAGCGGCTCGGGTGCGCTCCCCATGCTCTGCGCGATGCTGAGCGCGCCCTGCTGCTCCTGCAGCGCCACGCGCAGCTGGCTGATCTTCGGGTCGAACGCCAGCATCACCTCCAGGCGCAGCGTCTCGAAGTCGGACAGAATCTCGCTCTTTTTGCTCTCGAGCGCACCGACGAGCTTGTCGAAGTAGTCCGCCACCTTCTCCGCGTCCTCGCTCACCAACTGGAGCGTCTTTTTCTTGTTGGCTTGCAGCGTCTCCAGGCAGGAGAGCGCATCCGCGCTGCGCCAGCTCTCCACCTGCCGAATCAGCATCCCGGACGCCTTCTTCTCCAGCTCGAAGGCATCCTCCAGGGAGCAGAATCTGTGGCCCCCGTGCTCGTCGGCGGTTGCGCAAAATCCGCAAATGAGCCTGAGGTCTGTGGCGCAGAAGATGTTGCACGGCTGGTCGTAGTGTTGCTTGCAGACGGACATTTTAGGGGGCACCTTTATTTTGCTGAACTTCTCCACGATCGCGCGCAGGGAGTAGTTGATCTGCAGGCTGTTTGCGCCGTTGTGGGGGGACTCTTTGCGGCACGTGGGGCATTTGAGGGGCGTTCTGGGAGCTCGGAGCCCATCCAGGAGCCCCTCCAAGCATTTCTTGCAGAAGCTGTGGGAGCACAGCAGGACGCGCGGGTCCTCGAAGAGCCCACAGCAGACCGGGCAYGTCAGCTCCTCCTCCAGCTGCTCCATGGTGATTTCCTGTAAACACATCCAGCCGTCAAATACTCATTCAGACAGGGAGGGAAAAACTCAATAAAAAGCGCTTCATAGATTACACACCCACAAGCAGCGTCATGTTTACGCAGCAAAACCAGCATAATAAACAAGAAACTACAGAAGCATCGAAAGGATACAAATTTTTCACTGCAGCTCCAGCTGTGTAGGAAGTATCCCCCTCCTGTAAGTGAAACCGCCTCGAATCGCTGTGCCCGCGTAAAAACCTGGCATGTGAGCAAACAGGAGCTCCGTTGGCGCAAATAAAGCAGAGCCACATCCTGTTCTCTGATCGTTGAAATAAGCTTACAGATTTTCAAAAAGTCCCCAAAAGAAACGACAAGTTTTTGTTTAAAGATCAGACAGAACGGTTTTCTGAGCAGGCAGTGTTCGGTTGAGCTGCGAGCTCCCCAAAATCACTGTCTTCCTCATCAATCAAAAAAAAAAAAAAAAAATGCGTCAAATTATCGCCCTTAATGCTGCTCCTTGTTGGCAAGGCTGCAAACGGAAGGCGGGCTGTGACAGATTTTTGCAAGCGCATAGTAACATGCAACTACTGGACCAAAAGAATCACTCACCAGCTGCTGGAGGCGCTTCAGCGCGACGCAGTCATCATCATGGCGCTTGTTGCCGTGCAGACTTCGCCCTTTCCGGGTTTGCAGTTAACCATTTCAGCCGCGCGCGGAAGTTTGGAAACCCAACGAAACGCTTGTTCTTGCGGGCGCAGAAAACACAATGTAAAACACAACAGTGGGTTTATAAAACCTGCAGGTGTTCCGGGTTATTTGACATCGTTTTATGACTACAGTTGCGTGTTTACGTTTTGTCGCCGCGGGTTAATTTGCAGAGGATCCCTGGCTGCCAGGTGGGGGAGGGGCTGTTGCTATGCAAAACATTACAGCGTGAAAAACTGTCAAGTGGGTTTTAGTTCCAGCCTGGCATCACGTGTTTTAAACTCTGAACTACATTTGTGGCTCGTTAATGCGGGAGGAAACGTGTGCTATAAAGGCTGTCAAGCTGTCACAGAGCTTTGAATCCGGCCTTCAAAAAGTTTATTTCATATCAGCAACGCAGCATCAGAGAAAGCGAATCTGCGTGTAGTATGCCCTGCGGTTATGAATGATTCAACGCCTAAATTAAACCATGTTTTCCCCCTTCCCCCCTTGTAATCCACTTTCAGCTCAATCGGGGTTATGTAACATCGATACCCAATAGTTACTTAGTCACGTGGAGCAATGTTAACCTTGATTTTCTTCCCCTGTTTCCATGCCATCAGGAGCAACTGCCTATCTTTGCCGCTGTGATTGGATACAGTGAGTTTAGCAATGCACATGTGTAATTCACGGATCTGCCGCGGGGTGTCGCTGCTGCACAAAGTGGAGACTTTTAACGTCGTGATACCGACCGCTCTTTGGTTTCTTTCCGGATGTTTAAGCCAGTGAGTGGGTCGAGGCAATGGCTGCGTTGTTTACGTGTTGTTTTGGCTGCTGCGGAGAAGGGGGGTCCAGACACATTCCCCTCAAAGAGATGCCTACTGTTCAGCTAGACACCCATCACATGGGTAAGGATGTTTTTATAAATGTAACGCTGTAGTTAAAGTCTACAAATACCAAGGGGGGAACAGTCACGCCATGCTAATTAGGCTAGCTAATGCTAATTTTTTTGTGTTAAATTAATAATTTTAGTCCTAAAATATTGAGTAATTATTCTTGTCTGAGGTTAATAGCTCTCAGTATTAACTTGTCATTTTGTAAATGATAAATATCAAAATATTACACAACTGCGCTCATATACTCTAATATAACATGTTTAACTTTATGTTTTACACAAACTAAATCACATTCTTAGTGTTTATAAGAGTGGATGTGCTCAGATGAATGATAATAACATCAGCTAAACATTTGCCACCATTGTATCTTTTGGTCATTGGTTTTTCATTGTAGAAACGGGTATTAAAAAACAAGAATTGAGTGGATATTTGATTTTTGTTTCAAAGTACTGAAATCAAAATTCAAACACAAAGCGTTTCTCATGGTGTCAAAAGAGGATGAGCAATTTTTTTTTAATGATTTGAGTTTCATTTTCTGTTTCAGATAGCATAAAAGAAAATTACTTTAAGGCAGAAACGAAAAAAGGCTTGTTTGTTCATAATCCATGGCAGGTCACGTCAATTTACTGTCTCCTTACAATAAACTGTTTCACCACCAGGAGGGGTGTCTGCGATATCAAAGTTATTCAATGAACATCCCATTACAAGTAAAAAGCATTGACGTTGACTTCGGTAGCAAATATATTTGCCAAGTATTTATTTGGTATCAGATCAATATCGAAGTCGTAGTACCGCCCACCCCTCGCTGAAAGGAAAACTCTGAGGACGAGAACTGACAGAAAAAAGTAGACTACAGATTTTGAATTTCAGGATGGGAAAACTCAGGACAAAAAAAAACTTTCTACTCACAGAACAACAATCGTACAACACACTAATGGAATAAAATTTATCTTATTTAGCTATTTATTGAGAGAAATGGAAGTAGCCGACATGTATTCAGTAAAAGAGACTTATTTGGCCAAAAGCCACAGGAATTACTTCTGCAAAGCCTTTGGTCACAGAGCGACAGTCATCATAAAACTCATTTATGGACATACACGTCTGTGTTTCAGCCTTTTATTTACATAAATTAATGTTTAATTATGCAGAGCTGCCAGGCAAGCTCCCCTTCTGGTGGGGGAATTATGTAGATACAGTGGTTTGCAAAAGTATTCATACCCCTTGAACTTTTCCATATTTTGTCACATTACAACCACAAACATAAATATATTTCACTGGA